CCATATTAAACAGTGCCTCCTACTCCTGGACTTTTGTGCTTCTCGATGACTTTCTTTATTCAGGATAAACCCAAACTACCAACCACTCCTAAGGTTGTTCCACTAAAAGCACAAATGCCAGCAATGGAAGCAATTTTATTCCTTAACTCAATATTTTGGGTCTTTAAGGTAGACACTTCACTTTTTAACCTATCTATTACAACTTTTAACTCATCATAAGCTTTCATAGTATCGGGGTTTTCCTCGGCTTCTTTTTCAATTGCCTCTTTACTATCTTTAACAAATCCTTCTATTTTGCTTAAATTATCCATCATCTCAGAATGGTTGCCATTAACTCCTTTGACATCAGTTTCTATTTGTTCTTCTTCTGCTTTTAAAGAATTGAGTTTATCTTTTAGGCTCATAGCTATCCTTTCTTAAAGTTTTTGTGTGTGTGTGTGTGTGTGTGTGTGTGTCATAATAATTAATTTTTGTGAGGTGGGTTAGTTGGTTGGAGGATTTGGGCTTGGAATTGTTCAGTTATTTCTTCAATACCAGTAGTATAGTTATTATGAGAAAGATTGGCATTATCTCCAAACTGATTGCCAATAAAAGCATGACCTCCTTGAACATTAATGTCTCCAAAAAGGATTAGATTTTGTTGTCTGCCTTTTAAGAAAAACTGCCCTTTGGTAAGTTCCATTAGGTCTTCAATGATGGTTCTAGCCTGTTCTCTGATTTTATCTAATTGTTTATCTATTTGAGTGATTTCAGCTTGAAGTTGGCAAAGTCCTTTGATGTCTCCTCTAAAACCATTTTTATTTAGTTCTTTTATTATTTCCTCTTTTTCTTTACTATTGCCAAAAGTTTCACAAAGATTAATATCTTCTTCTACTTCCAAAAGCCTTTTTATCGTTAATTCTTCATATGGAGCATAATCTATGTTCTTTCTTAATTCTTCTAGTTCTTTTTTTCTTTCACTCATTTCTTTCAAAAGTTCTTGTCGTTTGGTAGCCTTTTCTAGTAATTCTTCATATTTGGCTTGGAGGGTGGTTAGCTTTTCTTCTAATTCGGTTTTTTCTTGTTTTAGTTGTTTTTGATTGGTAAGGCTGGTTTTTAGTTCTTCTTGTTTAGTTAGGATTTCTTCTTTTAGTAAGAATATTTGTTGTTCTTTATCGGCTAATAGTTGGGTTTTGGCTATGAGGAATTGGTTGTCTGCTCTTCATTTTTTGAGGTTGTAAGCGTCATCGTTGTTTTTATAGGGTTCTAACAAATAAGAGTTTATTAGCGGGGTATTTGAACAATAAAATCATTTAACACTCTCTGGTAAATATTCTAAACCACTATCTAGATTAGTATCATAAATATAAAGTTCTTCCAATTCACTCATTCCCTTTAAAGGCTCTAAACTACCATATAAGGGATTATTATATAAATACAATTCTTTCAAATTAACAAAATCCTTTAAAAAAGATAAGTCTTGGTTAAGGTTGGCATTGTTCAATTGTAATATTTCTAATTTTTCTCCCTGAGGCAATTTAATTTGGGTGAGTTGATTACCAGAGCAACTAATTCTTTCTAAACTAGCACAATCACTTAAATCTAAGGTGGTTAGGTTATT